TCCCACTAGCACATATAATCAGGGTCTAAAATTAAATTTTTGCCACACCTGCCAATGTTGAAGGAATTGAGAAAATGTATTGTCCATTAAGGTTGACACAATATCAAAGTTTCAGTCAATACAAATACCAGTAAAGTTTACAATTCTCTAAACAATGTTAAATTATTAAGCAAAAAATAATACTATTAAACAAACTAAATGTAAAAATGTGTTTATATATGGGTGGAAAATAATGCAATTCCAACTTTAATTCCAACATCACAATGATTTAATTTGACCTAAACGGGTCTAGAATCAGTGAACTCTCTCTAAACCCTGCAGACTTTTCTTCATCAGACCAAAAATCATTCATGCTGTCAAAGGTGACAAACTGCAGGCAAATCTAAGCTGTGAATGTTTTCAGCACATAGGAACATGTAAGTGTTAGAACACAGCTGTCGGAGGTTGAGAAATCATGTGCCGTTACCACTCACAACATACTTAGTGACTGGCACGGCATGCTATTTCAGCAAGACACTTTTGTGTGCCCAAGAGCACAACACTACAGCGGCAAAAAAAAATGCAAGCCCTGCCAGAGCAGCCATGCAGCGCCACAGCCCCTGCCAAGCCAAATCATGTCACAGTAGCTCTCAGGAGAATGTGAGGGTGGGCGGGAGGGATGCAGCATGCTTCCTCACCTTTCATTCAGAGTACTGCACCTAAGATTCTATGAAATCAGTCGATAGATCCAAATATTTATTTTATTGCAAAAAAAGCTTTTATTTCAACAGAACAAATAACTATGGCTAGCTAATATGAAATTCATTCGGATGAAGAAACAACAAGTATATAAAGGTCAATGGATATGTTCACTCTGCAAGCCTTAGTGCTGGCGTTCTCAACTGGGAAGCCCACAGCAAACTTCCAAGAGGGACTCAAGAAGTTTCTTATATATAATTTATGTACTCAACAACTGGATATATGAGGTGTATAGGTGTGATTTCTAGCTCTGGAATAGTCAGGTAAATATAATCTAATAATTTCATGGTCACTTTATAATGTATATACATTTTTATAGTTACACCAAGCTTTAAAATACTTTGATAGGTAGAGATTATGTGAGTAATTCTAAAAATCATTGTCCTTGCTCCTTCAGTAAATTATGAAAAACTGGAAAAGTCACAGGACCTTAATTTTTGTTGTGGAGAGTAGGGACCTTGTAGTCAAATAGGTTGAGAACCACTGCCTAAGTGATAAATTCTGATTTATTTCTAAAATACTCTTTTTTTATTTTTTTTATTTGGCTATTCACATCATTTTTAAAATGTGGCCAATATCAACTCTGAGTGTGAATTGGTCACAGTCCTGAACTGACCCGTATGTGCAAAATAACAATAACAAAGATGGTATTTAGCATGCTGCCGTATGGAATTAAGCATGGAGGCAACTGAAGTCAGCATTTACACGTTCATTTACAAGGTGACACACCTCAGAAGCCAGTGAATGTGTATACAGGTGATAAGGATGACTACGTTGAGGATGAGGAGAAAGAGAGCAGCTTTTCTTGTATAGTTTTTCATTAAAGGGTCATGAAACCCCCTGTTTCAGCCCTGGTCAGTTCTCACCACAGTTTAAAAAAAATGCTAAAGACAGACAACACAGACAACTTTGGTTTTAGACAGTTTCATTTCGTTCCCATCAAGTTAAAAACACAAATAAATGCACAGCCATTTGCACTCTGCATCAAAAACATATATATGAACGCGCTGTTGCACCTCTGATAACTTTTAAGGCTTAAAAGCTAAAAACTTTTAACACTCTCCTTCGATCCATGAATGTTTCTCTCAGTTAATGTATGCGATCTCACAGTCTGAAGCGTCTGTCATAGCAAATCAACACATGCTGTTGTGAATAATTAAGCTAAGCGTCTTCTCATTGGATAAGAACACTTAGTCTCATGAATAATTTAATAGACACCGACGTGTCATCGATGTACTATAGTCCTTTGCCACGTCACAAATTGTGACGTCAACACGATGTTGATTTTAAACCCGGAAGATGAATATAGCGCAAAAAATTAAATAGTTTTCTCCAACAATTAAAATTAATGTTGACCGTTTCTCAATATGCATTCTTGTCTGTACTTATGGGCTTGTGAAACGTCGTCAGTCATCGACCTAGTACTGTTCCAATTCAAAGTTCACATCTAGCCAAGTACAGTTCAAATCCCCGGATGTGTTCTTGCTCCGCCCCTTTTATCAAGGATGCATCGAGAGGTGACTTGTGCAAACTTGAGGCAGCCAGGTATCCCAGAATGCATTTTGCACCAACCAGCGAGCGTTAATGGCGGAGGAGATATTTTTAAATAATTAAAAAAATATTACTGTTATTGTGTCATGAAATGCAGTTCTAAGAGTATTTCAGGCGAGAATGTAGTTGTTTAAAACTCAAATCTGCGGTTTATTATAAAGATAGCACCTATTTGAAAATTTGCTTCGCTGATTTTGGAGACGTGAGCTCCAGGCGATCACCGGGTGCTCAGTGCTCATGTATCCCGACGAGAGACGCCTCAACTCGGCTAGTCCTTCTGTCACTTGCCACTGACTCTGATGTCTCTGTAGTGGTTAAACATGAGGTAAAATTCGTTTTGGGTATATCTAACAGGCAATCTTTGGTCTCATGAATCTATTGTTTCTTCCAGGTCATATCGTTTTGGCTGAGCACAAAGTTATGTTTCATAAATTATTTATTTATTAATCATAATACAGCACTGACTTTGTTGCATACATTTGACTGAATTGTTTGCTTTTGTCTTTATTTCCTATTACATAAGTCTCATACTTTATACTTATACTTTTTTAATGGCTATTATTGTTAATTAAAACTGACATTTAACAAAAAAGGCAGGGTTGTGCTTGTCATATTTCATTTTATTATACATTCAGTAAAGATAATCAGAGTATACGTGCACATATTACCTAAACCACATATTAATGTTTTATATTTTTAAAATGAAAACGAAAAGGGTTGTGTTTTATATTTTGAAGAAAACTAAAAGGCAGTGGTTTTTGATATCCTTTTGTTGTATTGTAATGCGTGTACGCATTGCATGAACCACATTTTTGTGGCTATTAATATTTTAAATGAAACATAAAACAGGCAATGCTGTTTGATATAATATTTCGTTTCACTGTAATGTAAATGTAGCCTACGTTCCCTGAACTACATTTTCGCGGCTATTAATATATGGTAGAGGGTTAAATGAAAACGAAAAGAGGCAGTGGTGTTTGATATCATATTTCGTCGTATTGTAAAAACACAGTGTAGATAATCGGAGTAGCCAAGGCGAGCTGACTGACGTGATCAAGTACGATGCTGTTCCATTTGCAGGATTACCGGACTTGCGTCCTCCCGTCTCCCGTGTCGAAATTGCGTAGTCCGAACTACCAAGTAGGGTTGTGACGGTGAGGGAATTTTCCCACCGGTTAATCGATGTGTGACAACACCGGTAATACCTGAAAATGCGTCTTCATTTTCAAATGGCTTGTAAAAGTGCCATGCGCATTTTACTTTCACTTTCAAATTAGCTGCACTTGAATTGCCGCAATTTGGCGTAGGGCTGTCGTGGTAAGGGAATTTCCCTTGCGGTAATTTTGAGTGGCTCAATAGCGCGTATGCGGTATTATCGCCATACATATACATATATAATTTGTGTGTGTATGTGTTACGATATAACTAACGAGGTCATATTCAGAAGACAATGAAACCGAAACCAAATAGCGTTGAAACAGGAAGTGAACTAAACAGAAGAGAATGACAAAATAACGGTCCACATAACAGAACATAAACCTGACAATAAGATCGTTAGGCTATCGTTAGCCTATATGTATAACAGTTAGCCTAGTTGTAATCTGATCTTCTAATCTGACTAGACAAGAGACTTTCTATTGATATTTCCACCTGCGCGCGTTCTAGACGGGCTGGTTGCTGCGGTTCTTGCATTCCTCTGCGGTTTGCTCGTCAATAGCGCGGTATTGCGGTTATCGCGACAGCCCTAATTTGGCGTTAAGCAATTGTTCATTTGAGTTTTCCCTCTTTTCCTCTGATTTCTTGGCTTTCAAATAGCTTGAAACAGCGCTGTGCGCGTTTTACTTTCATTTTCAAATTAGCGGCAATTCGGCATTGATTCAATTCAAGCAACAACAACGTCAAACTCATAGAACTTTTATTAACAAAAAATACACCATATATGCCTAATAAAATAACAAATTACTTAGGCTACACAAAGTTTAAATAGGTATATAAAACTAACCTGACAATAAGATCGTTAGGCTATCGTTAGCCTATATGTATAACAGTTAGCCTAGTTGTAATCTGATCTTTTAATCTGACTGGACAAGAGACTTTCTATTGATATTTCCACCTGCGCGCGTTCTAGACGGGCTGTCAGTCAGTGCAGTTACAGTGTTGCGCCACAAGGTGGTGGAAAGGGACTGTCATTCAACTATTAATTAATTCAAAGAGACGTAATGAAACAGGCTGTTGAAATCATTTTAACTTTGAGCGTCACTTTAGAAGGCTCAGCTGACCAGCTATGCGTCGATGCTAAGACAGAGATTTCGCTTTCCTTGGACATGACAACCTATTTTCACAAATATATATGACTCGGCCTGGAGGACAGACGCAAGTAATCGCACGCGCTCAGTCGATCTCTCTCTCATTCACTGTCTGTTTAGGCTTGTTAAGTGCAAATCTAAGGAGCCTCTGTACAAATCAGCATGGTACACATTATGTTATCATTACTAACTTGTTTAATATTCAGTCCACAAGCATGAAGTGTAAAACGAGAAGGGCATAACCTTACGAAAAAATAAAACACGCAAAAATCACGGTTGCTGCGGTTCTTGCATTCCTCTGCAGTTTGCTCGTCAATAGCGCGGTATTGCGATATTGCGGTTATCGCGACAGCCCTACTTTCAACCAGCATAACAAAAAATGTTTCTGAAGACCTTTTGCACCTTTAACTGCCCAAAGGTCTTACCTTCGACCTTCAAGGGTGCGGAGACTGGCTTCCTCTCGAGCAGTCATGCGCTCCCTGCGGCCTGCGTGCTGTGAAGCGTGCAGCGGGTGACTGGGGTGACCAGGATCCCCGGCTGATGACAGAGCGGAGCCGTATCGCAGCTGCGCTTCAGTGGAATCCATGATGGACACCATCCAGTTCCAGGTGGGGATCAACTTTTCCTCCACAAAGTTCTGCAAAATGACATTATCCTGTTATATTTTGCCTTTATTACAGTCCGATTTTGTTCGGGTAAAGGCCGAGCGACTCACCTGCAGATTAACCGCGTCCTGATAGGTGAGTTTGACTGCAGCGGGGTACTGCGAGTAGACCAGGTGGTTGTATTTGGGTATGAGGCTCATGAGGTCGGAGATCTGCCGGATGACGATGCTGTAGGCTCGAGCCAGGCTGCTGGCGGATGTCAGGTAGCTGCTGGAGTTACTGGCCTCCAGGGCTGCTGCGGCGGCTGCTGCGCTCGTGCTGATGGCGCTGCTCCGTCGCAGGTTTGAAGGATCGATGTAGATGAGGCCCGTGGAGCTCGCTAAAGGAGACATTAGAATTATTGCTACTAATATTAAATTCCTTATATTTTCCAGAATATAACTTGTTTTTTTTATCATCTGAAACGTGCTGGGAATTATGGCGCACTCAAGTCCTAGTGGGAAGTTTTTACACATTAGATGCATTCAAGTCACTTTGGTTGGAGCAAGATTGCAATGACAATGGGGAAAAAAAAAAGAAAGAAAGAAATATCAGTGTCA